GATATCCGGGAGGGCCTCAGAGTAGAACCGTTGCTTCTTCACGTCGAAAGGAGCCAGTTGAGGTGGTTTGGACATCTGGTGCGGATGCCTCCTGGGCGGCTACACGGAGAGGTTTTCCGTGCATGTCCTATAGGGAGGAGCCCCCGGGGCAGACCCAGGACTCGCTGGAGGGATTATATCTCTCGGCTAGCCTGGGAACGCCTCGGTGTCCTCCCCGAGGAGCTGGTAGAGGTAGCTGGGGAGAGGGAGGTCTGGGTGTCTCTCCTGAAGCTGCTACCCCTGCAACCCGAACCCCGGATAAGCGGCAGGTAATGGATGGATGAATGGATGGCAAAGCATCTGTTACATTTAAACATGGAAGTAGCATGTAGAAATAAGTCCCCCAGGCTTGGCATGTAGTAGTGAAAAAGGCTAAATTTGTATTTTACGAAAACATTTAAAAGTGTTTGGGGCAGGATTTGTAATTATCCATTTTTCCCTATACACTGTAACAATAGGGAAGCTGCCCTACATAATCTAAAACTAAAAGTCCACGGAAGTGGCATGTAGAAATGAGGCCCCAGAACATGTGATATATTGCTAGAAAGGGAAGAATTTGTGCTTCATGAAAATGCATCAATGTGTCTGGGGCAAGATCTTAAAATACCCATTATACACTATAAGCTGTAACCATATCAAAACTGCGCTATATCATCTAAAACTAAAAGTCCATGTTAGTGACATGTAGAAGTGAGGCCGCAGCACATGTGATATATTGCCAGGAAGGTCGGAATTTGTACTTTACGAAAACTCAAGATTGAAGATTCGAAATTCAAAAGGTTTATTCATCACGTACACAGTTGTACACATACAACATGTAGTGGAATGTAACCCTGGTCACTCTGAGCAGCTGTGCATGATAAGAGAGTAACAAAATATAGAAAAAATAAGAAAAATAATAAGATAACAAATATATGAAATGTTCAGCTGTACATAATCTATACACAAGTGATAGGTAAGAGGTATTTTGCTTCAATATATTCAATATATTTAACTATAATTTGCTAACACTGAACAGTTACCAGACTCTGAAAGATGCTGGGTATGATTTGTGACTGTTGATATTTACTATTTAACTCTTAGGGACCGCCAACTCTAGTGTTAAAATCAACTGATTGTATTTCAGTAGTATCATATTTTTTGAATAGCATTCTTTGCAGTGTGAGAGAAAAATCCAAATGTAATCCCCAAATGTAATACGAAAGTAGTGAATGTTATGTATATGTTGTCAGGGTCAGCCCCTGCTGTGGTCCTACCGTATCCCCTCCCCTGTTTGGCCAGCAGGCGTTGCTGGTCATCCCATCCTTCATGTTAGTCTTTGTTCTCCTCTGTGACCTATCTGGTCATGTGGCTCTATGTGTTGAGCGTGTAGTTGTCTGTGTACCCTTCTGTCCTGTGTTTGAATCCTGCCTCCCCTGTTTTTGTATTTTGGCTCTCTAGTGTTTCATTTGAGTTTCTTTAGTTCTTGTGTCTGATATTGTAGTTGGTTTTGGATTTGTTCCTTGTGCCCCTGCTTGTGTCTTTCCCTGTTTAAATTCTCTAGTGTTGGTTTCTGTTTCCCTGTTTCCTTGGTTAGTTCTTAGTTTCCCTGTTTTGTTCCTTTAAGTTTATTAGTTTCACCTGTGCCCTGTTTTCCTGGTCTGTTAATTAGTCTCACCTGTCCTGTGTTAGTCTTATTACCCAGTTTTGGTTTCTGTATTTAAGTCCCTGCTTCTGTTCTGTGGCCTGTACTATGAAGGGGGTTTAACCAAATCAGACTTAACCCCGAGGTAATTTGCGAACGCGAGGTTGACAAAATCATGTTGACTCCATCGGGGCTAATCAGTACTACGACGCCAGTTAAGAAGTTGATTTGTTAAATCGGTGTTAACTGCATCGGAGTTTGTGCGCGTTCACATATATGGAGCACGTTCGGCAACGCAATTAAGGCACCGTTTAACGCATAGCGCGATCTCCATATGTTTCACGGAGGAAGACTGCATGCTAATTATGCAGGGTTATGAGGAGTTTAAATCAACACTATAAAGAAAGTCCAATACCACTGCAGCCAACAAAAGCAGGCAGGCTTATTAGCAATTAACGTATTGACGACGGAGAAAATGCATACGTACATTTTCACGGTCATAAAACGTAGTCTAAAATATCTCACGACCGAGTATTACACAATGAAGTGTTTTCTGAAAAGAATTGAAATACTGTTAATAATTACAGAGGCTAACAGATGCGACACAATTCAGAAGTTACATATTATATGCTGCTAAGTAATGTACGTAATGCTCCCTGAAGTTCCATTACTATATGTTACTCATAATGCAAACCTAATGTTAACAATAACTGATCCGATTTCAAATGCAATTGTAGTGGAAAGCGTACGTGGCAAGTCAAGATGAAATATAAAAACATCATGTCAAGTGGTAGGGCTATGTATTTATATTTCTACTCATTATGATAAGATAAGATTTGTTGTGTGTAGCCTCCACTAAATAGCGTGTTTCTATGTTTTACAGCTAATAATAAAATGGTGTCTGTTCATATGACACTTAATAGAATTAAGGTGAGCCTCTGTTTAACAAACAATTAAATGATTTACAACAGCACAAACCAGAAGCATATGTGTAGTGAGAAAACGACTAGGAACCTGTCACCGCGGTTAAGTTAGCCTCATATTCCATATTCAGTTTTCTGGCTTTAATATCTTTATGGAAGTAAGGTGGGCGTATTTAACGACAGAATTGTGATGTCGATTACGCAGACATCGATGCACACTGATTATTTTTCCGCTTCAAAACATTTTGTGATTTGTGCCAAATCATGTTAATAGCTAATAAAATAGGTCCTCTAAGCTGTAATGACATATGGTGGTTTAGTATTTTGGGCTCATGGCCACTGTTGCACACCCCGTTGTTTCCCAGATTGCTTTACATGCGAATTTTAATTAATTTTTGAATGTTCGAATGTATCCGTATACTATGCAGTCGACAATACATGAATGGGTTAATAACTTTAAAACTAGACAAGACAGGCACATCTAGTGAAGTGTGCTTTGATCAGTGGACAACAAGGAACAATGCACACCCCTTCGGTTTTCAGAATGACTTTCTCTGGAACAGTTATTAATTAATACATTGTATGCATATTATATGCCATTGCTCCATTTCATACATATTAACAGAGAGAGCCCCTCAAGATTTGCGCGCCAATGCTGTGCGGATCATCCAGGTACGCCGGCATTGTCTTCAGAGAAATTGTAATGGGAGGGGCGGTGCTCATAGGGCTGGCTTACGCGGAAACCTCGACTTAACCAAGAACAAAAACTGCTCGGAGCAGTTTTGAGACTTAGCGTAAATTGCCATAGCAACATGTCTCGACTAAAACATACCCACCTTTCGTAGTACGGGTTAATCGCGAAGTTACACCACATGTCATCAAGTTACTCGCAAAGTTACCCCGATAAGCCAGTTACCCTGCTTCGTAGTACAGGCCACTGTTCTCTAGTGGTTCGTTGTCTATGATGTGTCCCGGTGTGTTGTTGCTTGTCTAAGTTAGAGCTGTCGTATGTTTACCTGCCCAGTTTGGTTTAATTGTATTTGTAGTGTTAGTTTATTCCTTTTGGTTTTGTTGTGTTTTCTGTTTCATTTAATAAACCCCTTTCTGTTCCTTGAGCCACAAGTGGGTCGTCCGCCCTTTTTCGTGCACCATGCCTCGTTCCCGTGCCCGAGTCACCCGGATCCCTGACATATGTATAATCTCCTAGCAATAGAGGAATGCACTAGGCCAGTGGGAACCGTGTGATCAAGGTCGGATGATAGCATCAGGCCCTAGTCAAGAAATAGGGAGCACTGAAATACCGGAACAAACCATATATGGAAACACACAGTAGAACCCAAGGTAACTAAACAAAGGATAAAAAGAACTGTGAGAAGAGGCTCGGAGGAGAACTCAAAAGATCTCCTCAGGCTTGTGCTGTAAGATACCACAATAAACTGAAAGCTGAGAAGACTTTACGCTGTTTTGAGTCCTACATCGCGAAATTTCCACAACAGATTTGGGGGCTTGTCCGGGATCAGATGAACGGAGGCCGTTGACGCCAAGACGGATACGAGTCCAAAAGGACAACGAGGGACCCGTTTGGAGTCCAGAACAACCAATTGTGTCTGACCCATCGTGATTCCTGAAGTGGACGGTTCCCCCGTCACTCCGACCGGACTCAGGTAGGACCAAAAGGTGTTTGGACAGCTATATGTGTGGATTGTGATATCTTACTACAAAGGAAATAGACTGACCGGAAGGGTCATTAAATAAGGTGTTAAAACTGCAGACCTGAGGGTTGCGACCCCAGGGGATGTCTAGCTCGACCAGGAAGGAGTCGAGGGTAATAAGTCGACCGGGGCGCAGGGCACAATTCGACCAAGGAGGGTCGAAGGAATAGATCGATGACTCGTGTTACAGTAATATAGGAGAAGCATCTTCCTGTTCACTATGTGATGTCTATAGTCTGGGTGAAACAACGTTTGGCGTGTCGCACTTTTAAGGATTGGAGAAAGCAGAGAAAAAAAGGAAAAAAAAATTTCCATTGCAGAGGCACAGAACTAAAGTTGAAACAAGAATAACAGGTGCATGTGTGTGGTATACGTGAATATTTGTGTGTAAGACATGAACTTGCAATGAAGTAAAAGCTTATAGCAGGTTTGTGTGTGAAAGGCTGGCTTGCAACGAAGTAAAGGCTTAAAGCGCACTAACAATTCAGCTGAAGCGTGCTGTGTGACGGGTGAACAGAGATGGGAAATAAGGCAAGTAAAAGTGAATGGGGACCGGATCCAGCTTATGATCCGGAGGGAGAAACAGCATTTGAGAGAGAGAGATGAAGTATGCGAGAAAAAAATGCAGGGGAAAACATGTAGAGAGGTGGTTGAAGGAAGAAGAGGAAAGGATTATGGCAAGTTGTGTACTGATTGGAATGTAAAGACAAATGGAGAGTGGCCACGGGATGGTTCCACCTGTGTCGGTACCATAGCCTTTCAGTGCTATGCGCTGTGAGGCATAGGCACAGAGCTCAGCCCCTGGTCACAGGACTTCAAATGATGATAGTAAATGTCTGTCTGCCCCTTTGAAAGGCCCTTTAGCTATGTTTTCCACACTTTGGGAGTCAGACTAGTCAACTTGTACAACATAACCCACACAACGGACTGAATGATTGTATGGCAGACACAACTGCTAACATGTAAAGAGAAGTAAAGACTTCATGTGTATTACAATGTCCTTATCAAAAAGTACAATTATAACTAGTAAAATAAAGGAGGAGAAAGAATCACTCATTTGTATGAGACAAAGTTAACTGGAAGGCTGTGTGAAGTATGCTTGGCAAAGTTAGGGACTATGATGAATATATGTCTGCTAATGATTTGGATTCATGCTTTTATTCACCTACAGTATCTCTTGAGGAGGCATGCCAATGGTGTGGACACTTTCAAGACACAGATCGGGATGGTGACTGGGTAAGAACTATCAATGCACTTATAGATGCATAGAAAAATACAGCTATTTGTTGTTGTATTGTATGTTGTCAATCTTACTATAGATACTTTGCAATGGATGCGAGAGATGGCAGCACCGTGTCTGTGTAGGCATGAAAAAGGAGCAATTTAAAAATATAGCACATGTGATGTGACATTGCACAGCCTGTGAAGAGGAGTCTTTGTCATAAAGCAGCAGCGTACTTCAGGGTCTGAAACCAAAATGTGAGTGTTGTCACATTTGACACATGTGAGTGGCTTGGCACATGACTGTGTATATGACTAATGGTCACACTTTGTGCACAATAATGCAGTTTAAATGGATTTCTCCCAGTGGACACCGTCAATATATTACCTTCCACTGTGTTCACTGTCTTGGAGGAAGACGCAGAGTCCTATTTCCCCTCAGAAAGTATTTAATCGACGGATGTTCCGAAGCTATCATCGCTGTGGACAAGCTGTATGTTAATGGGCAGTTGTATCAGGACCGGGATACCACCCCCTGGCTCTACTAATCCAAAATCAGGTGATCGCTATCCAAATTGACTTTGCATTTTTGATAATTTGCTATCAGACATGTTTTCATGGAAAAACATTATCTCCTTGTCTCAACAGCATAGTGTGAGGTAAAATGTGTCATAAATATATTATTGGTATTTGCAGTATTACTGTCACGGTTCGCGGGTGAGCGAGTAGGGAAGCAGGCGAATGGAGCCGGACTGACGGGCAAACGGGGTTTATTAAAGGAAGACGGACGAGGAAACAGGACCAACGCATGACACTACAATGACAAGTCTGGGGAAGACTGACTCAGACGAGGACTAAATACACAAGACAAGCTAGACTTAATAGGACACAGGCGATCACATTTAGGGCTGAACACGAGGTAACGAGGTGGGCGTGGCACACATCGGGAGCGGACGGAGCGGGGCGTGACAATTACTATACTTTTGTCCTTTTTTACATTTGTCCTCATTTCTTTCTCTTTCTTTTCTCTCTCACCACAACAGCTAGCCGCCCATATGGTATTTAATGCAACAGTTTGCATAACTGCACCCCACACAGCATACACGCAGAAACAGCTTAGTGTCAGACCATTCACACAGACGCACAGACTGACGCAGACTCTTACACAAATAGACACAGATATACAGGATGTACATAACACACGCACATACATGCACACATACAGGCATTCATGTGCAACCATGCACGTACATACATATACGCACACACACACACACTTTAGCAAGCCCCTCGCATTCGGTTAAATTACTTCAAAGATGAGCACTAGGGGTGGAGCCGAACCCGAATACGGTATTCGGAAAGGCACAAATAATGTGTTTTTTACGAATACTTATTT